TTCACAAAAATTGTGGTAAATTTTGTTGGTTTTAAAAATAAAAAGGATACTAATTTAATAGTTAATGGTTAGATTACAGTTATATCAATTATGATCAATTTAATATATTAAATATGACATTTAAAGTACTTCATCTGTCTTAAATTATAAGATACTTTTAAATAAAATTATACATACTAATAAAACTTATTAAATATACTTTACAACCTTAATTTTTTAAAATAAAAATATAAAATTTAAAATATGTACTTTATTTAATACTTCACTTGTCAAAGAGTATTAAAAAGAGATAATATATGAGAAGGTTGATATTAAAAAAGTATCATTAGTCAAATTTTATTTTTATCAAAATATTTTATATTTTAAAATATTAAATCTTTTCAAAAATATCTTAAAATTTAAAATAGAGATAATAATATTTTTATTTGTTAACCTTTTGGTCTATCAATTCGAACTTGCAATCTGCATGTTGAGTGTGCAGCACATTAACCAACAAGCTACAAGTTTTCATGGCATTTAAGGTAATTTTTTTAAATTAAATTCATAGGATGAGTTTAAACTATTTTTTATGGCAATTATTTTTGTTTTTATTATTAAAAATAAAAAGAAGATAAATATGAGATGTAATATTTACATAACAGACCTAATTATCTAACAATTTATAGTTTGTATAATGTATACAACCGCTAGAGCAAGAGGCATTTAAATTTGAGTTTGGTTGAATGCAAAAAAACATTTTGAGAGAGCTCTCCCAATTAAATATGATAATACTCGAATATGATCCAAACTGATAATCCAACTTTTTTATTAATATGCTATAAACAGGAAACAAAGTTACCAAAATACCACACCATGACAACAAGTATTTATTCAAATACTATATTAAAAATCGCTCAAATGGAAAATGAGTTCACATTTGTGAATAAATTATTCACATATAGAATAAGTTTGTCATCAAAAAATATGACTTGTTTTTTATAAAAGTGAAATAGTTCACTTAGTGAATGAGTTTCACTGAGAAAATATAATATTCATTGTGAAAATACAACCCATCCCTACAAAAATCTCTCTACATGCTCTCTCCTCCCTATTCTCACTATATGATGGTTGTTTGTTTGCTCAACCATCAATTGAAAATAAAAATACAGGAGAATAAGAGTTTTAAAATTTCAGTCAATCTCATTATATGCCACTTTTATTATCATCCCTTTTACACTTACCCACTCCTACTCAATTTAAATCGTTCATGTCTTTATTTGATTATTAGCAATATTTTCAATTGGATACAACACTCACACTTTTGAGTATGGTGGGCCATCATATGAAATATATGCCACCCTTCGATGGTCAATTTTTTTAATTGAATCATCTTGATTTGATTTAAATACGACAGCTACCTAGATAAATGAAACACTTGAATCTGAAGAAGGGGAACATGCAACAACAACATAATATATACTTCAATTGAGTAGGAGTGAGTGAGTTGAAAAATGATAATAATTAGAGCAGTAGCGCGTAATGAAATTGATAGGAATTTTGTGGCTTTTTTTCCCTTACATTTTTATTTTCAATTGATGGTTGGGTAGATAAGTAGTCACCATATAATGAGAATAAGCATGTTGGGACATTCTCGTGGGGATGGGTTGCATCTTCACAATGAATATTATGTCTTAGCAGTTAAAAATAAATAAACTTATTCACTAAAGGAACAATTTCACTTTTCATAAAAAAATTAAATGTTAGATTATTTTACTACAAATTTGTTCTTTGTGTAAATGAGTTGTTCACAAATGTAAACTCGTTTTTGGTCTAAATGATTTTTGGTATAGTGTTTGAATAGATATTTTTCATGGTGCAGCATTTAAGTAATGTTGTTTACTATTTACAACATATTGGTAAAAAAGCCACTAATAATCATATGAAAAATGTAATGAACCTTTATATACCCATATCTTAATAGTTTATTTTGGCGATTCCATAATTTCTTATTTTGATATATGGAAGCACCATAATTCATAAATATTATTATTATTATATAAGTGACAATCTTTTTATTAAAAAAAGTGATGAGCTTATTATGTATTGTGATAATTCATGCAATGAAATAAATGCAATATTTTCAAATCGATAGGGGATTTTTTTTTATAGGAAATAGTGGAAGTAAAATTTGTTGATTATTCATTTATTTTTCTTCCTATTCTTAACTCTCGTCTTTTCAATCTTGCAATTTTAAAAGTGTAAACAAGTGACTAAAACTAATACTGTCAAGTAATATCTTAAATAGCATTACCTCTAATAAAAATATACACATGGGTAATAAAAAAAAGTGTTTCATCTTTTATTCATCTTTCCTTTTTTTAATAATATCTTTTTTTTCACCTTTCCCAATAATACAAAACAAATAGGAAGAAATTCCAACTCCTCCTCAATCTTTTTCCCTTCTATTGATCCTATATTTGGCGCTGATAACAGGCAAAGAACGCTCACTTTGAATAGCACGGAATGAAGATTTTGCAACAAGTACCCCTATGTTGCTATAATTCTTTTTTGTAAAGATAAGAGCTCAAGCTCTAGAGTTTAGAGTATGTTTGTTTTCTATTTTTAAAAATTGTTTTTGTTTTTGAAAACAGAAAAATTTAAAAACTTGTCTGGTTAAGTATTTTTATTTGCTTATTTATAAAACTGTTTTCATTTTTAAAAAAACAAAAAAAAAATAGAGACAATTTTAAGTTGTTTTTGTTTTATTTTCTTATTTTTAAAATATACTACATTTTATTATTAAAAATTACAATCATGTTGACCAATATTTATCATAAATCACTATCATTAACCACCTATAATCATCACTATCAGACTATTTTTTAATTTTAAAAATATTTTTAAATTAATATAACCAAACAAATTTTTATTTTATTTTATTTTAAAAAACAATTGTAAAAACTATATTACAAAATAGTTTTTAAAAATAAAAAATGAGAACAGAAACCAAACAAGCCTTAAATGATTGTATCTTTTGCTTCTCCAAGCTACAGCCTACAGCCTGCCTTGTCTATCCACAAAAAAAAAAGTTGGAAGTTATAAATAATAAAGAACATACTTAACTTTTAATTTCACCACTCATCGCAGCTAATAACTCTAATAAATTGATGTCTAAAAATTCAAATGACAGCAAATAAATAAGAGTATAAATGAGAAAAAGCATTAACTATTATAATTTTATCTTATATTGAGGGCAAAATAAACTTTCAAACTTCTATGTAGGTTCCGTACAAACTTATTAGTAAATAACTTGTTATGCCATTTTATAGTTTATATATATTCAGATATGGAATTCATATTGACATTTTACTTGACATGGATGAACGTCGTTGAGACCTGTTAAATCTTGTCCATAAAATCGATATGAGGGACAGATGTTATGGTTAATTTTAATTCACAACATGTAATCAAATTAGAATGAAGGGATGTAATAATTAGCAACCCTACAATTATAACACAATTTAAAATGTTTCCCAAGACGACTCTCATGCTTGACACTATTTGTCAAGGGAAGCTAATAAACTGAATAACAATTAAAGACCTTTATTCATTATTTCTCAACTCATGACCATAAATACCTGAAAATGAGATTTAAATCTTCTGAAATCGGGATTGGTAAATTTAGATAAAGTTTTCCTTTTTAAGAAATAGAGAAAATATTTTATATTTTAATAATAATAATAATAATAATAATAATAATGGGCAAAAATTCTAAAGAAAGAAAACTTCACCTAAATTTATCAAATCCAACTTCAGATGATTTAAATACCTAAGAATGCCATCAATTTCTAAAATAAATTAATAATGTATTTGGATTAATAAGGATTTAGATTTTGACTTGGACCAAATATCTCATTTACATACATAAGAATATATGAATTTAGATTTAATTCAAATATAAATTTATTTTTAATATAATTCATTTGTAATTTTAAGTTCTCTTTATATTCTAGTCATTTAAAATTTTAATCATTTTAAATATTTCATTCTCTTTGTATTTTTACTATTAATGCTTCTATGACTTTTGCGTATTTTCTAATATTTAATTCTTGTCTCTCAATAATTGAAAAATATAAGTAAATTTATCACTTTATATTTTCCATTTTCGTTAAAATATCAACTCATACCTCTTTTTCATTTAAAATGGTTTTTAAATATATAAATTTTAGACATGAGATTTGAAATGCAAGATTTTAAATCATAATTTAAATCTAAATATATTAATCCAAATAGTATCTAAAGCTAATCCAAGAACTTGTATAGATGAATATGAAGTTTGTTAAGTATAATTTTTATTATGTGCACAATTATTATAAATGTATTTCTACATATTACGTGTACATATGCGTTGCGTAACTTCAAAGAAATAAACATACTAGGGCATGAAACCATCAAGCTGCGTGTTCAAACATGAAACATGTTCTTGCATTGGGTTTATTGATTTAATTTAATGCCAAGATTAAACATTCTTCAGAGTTCTCTCTCTCACTCACACACACATAGGGCAAACAATTATACAATATGACCGTTCGAAACTCATCTTAATTAATAAAATTAAAATATATGGGCACGGCTCAAGTGTAGTAAGAAAATAAAGAGTATTGTTAGTTTTTCTACACTTTTATCCTTTAAAACAATAACTTCAGCCCAAGAAAATGGTACAGAAGAAATTCCATGAAAAAAGACAGCCAATAGTGCTCCCAAAAAACATGTATCCTCGTTGCATCACATTACTCATATTTTTAATAAAAAAATAAATCAAATAAAATAAGTCTACTAAATAATAAGGTAAATATAAAATCATATCATATGACATGAATAAAAGGCCAGATGGGTTTTGTATTCTATAACTCATTATAAATTAGTATATAAAAGGAATATGATATGAGGTATTTAATTTTATTTTATGGACTAGAGGACATTAAAATACTAAAGTGGATGCAAGAATCCCCAGAAAGACAGAAAGAGAAAGCAACTTTCACAATAATAAGCTGGCATATATGGTGGGCCACAACATGCTGATGCATGGATATAACTGCCAATTTATAAAGTCCAATCCTCTGTTTCCTGATAAAGCTCTTGACATGTTAAAGCCCTCTCTACTCTATCCACAAACTACAAATTAGATCACCCCAGTTTACCACTCTGCCCCTCCCCATTTCAAACACTTTGACTCCTCCCGGTCCACCTCTTTCACACAAATCCTAACCTCACCTACGATGCGCCACATCATCATGCGAAACTTAAAATTAGTCTCGTTCCTCCACAACCCTAAATCAGAAATCTTCAAAAGAAAAATTAGAAAATTACGATCACAACAACGCGCGCTAAACTTCCCGAAGCCTCCATCTCTCTAACACCCCGTTATAATCCTACATTAGCGATTTCAACGACCTCGCTTTCACTGGCTTCCTCATTCGCCTCTTCCCGCTATCCCCGTTCGCGCCTTCTTCCTCGTCCTCTTCATCCTCATCGTCATCGTCCACCCCGTAATCGAATTCCTCGTTATCCATCAGCCATGATGTAGACGAACGAGAAGGCGATGAAGTGTTCAGGGTAGTTTCCTCGTTCGCTTCTTCAGCTTCTGTTATCGTCGAATTCTCGGCCCCCCTGAGTTGCCCGTTGCCGCTCCTGTGATTACCACTCCCCTCTCCATTTCTATCGCCTCTTCTCTTCCCCCACAGCGGACCGAACCCAGAATAGTAATAGAATTCATACGGGTTCGAAGAAGCTAAAGAAGAAGAAGAAGAAGCTCTCTTCGCGGCACGTGCTTTCGCGCGCCGAGCTCCGGCGCCGGGCGCAGCTGCAGCCGCCGCCGCCTTCCTCGAAGATGAGGTGGTGCTATTATTATAGCTAACGCTATTATTGTTATTATATGACCTAAGCAAAGACAAGTGATGCTCACAGAATGATTGGCCATGTTTAGCCTCGTTCTTACAATGCCAATTCTTCCCGTCGGTTTTCTGGCAAAACGAAGTCGTTTCGTCGACGATTCTTCCCTCGTCAATATCGTCGAGCACCTTCACTTCATTATCGCGCACGACGACCATATCCTCTATCTTAGGAAGCGGCTTGGTCTGATCGTCGGCGTCCATCATTGACGCGACGCTGCGTTTTGATCAGGAAGAGAAATTTGGGAGAATTACATTGCCGCGTCGAAGAAATGCTCGAGAGAAAAACCCTAATGAACAATATAAGTACAGTCGCCAATCGAAGGATAAATGGGGGATAATAGCTTACCTCTCAACGGCTCCAACAGAATCACCACGACTTCCATTCCCGGTCAAGCTATCTTCCTCTCCGTCGAACTGAGAGAAGCAAGGAGTATCAGTGAGAAACGAGAGATACGATAATCATTGACCTAATTGAGAGTTGAGAGTAATATATACGATCAAATGAGGAGAATTTATGGTGCGTGAAGAACCCTAGAGTAGGAAATACGGAAGAAAGAGGGGAAGAAAAACCCTAATATCGAAATGCAGAGAATTAGACGAAAGTGGGTGATGGGAAGGGTCTTCGGGTAGATCTGGAACGGGAAAAGGAAATAGAAGATAGAGAGGAAGCAAGGAACCTGGAGGGGCGAGTCGGAGCCGAAGGGGATCACATCCCATGGCGACTGGTTCAGCTGGCACACGTGGGTCTGAAAGCTGTCGTCGAGACCAAAAAGGACCGAACCACCAGCAGCTCCACCACCACCACATAGCTTGGCGCTCTTGCGGATCCTCATGGAGGGGAAGGGGAGAGGAAGATACGAAGATTCGAGAAGGGATTCGTCTCTGGAACTGATTTCTGCGTCTCTGTTTCGCTGCTGGGGCGTGAAAGAGAAAGAGATCTCCAGTATTTTTTTTGGTTCGCAGATCTCACAAAACTCGATAATCAGGGTTTGGTTTGCCCGCTCGCTCTTTCTTTCTTTCTCGGTCCTTCGTATGTTTCTATTTGTTTAGCTCGATGGACAACATTGCCCCTAGGTTTTTCGCCTATTTACGAGGAGTCACGAAGGGTTTGTTCGCGAGAAACAAGCCTGCCGCTATTACACGTCACTGCGGCTGTCCGAAAGCGATGTTTAAATAAGGCAGGCGAGAGAGGAAGCAGCGGGAATAATCACGTGGACATGCAACCACGGTAAAGGAATATACGCCCTAGCAACCATCTCGTGGGACGAGCAGACACCGGAGGGGACATTTTAGTCACGAAGATGAGCAAAAGCGAGGGAGGGAAAGGGTGAGCGTGTGATAGACGCGCGAAATCCAAGAGGGAGAGATGAGGGGCGGCCAACAAAGCAGGTCCAGAGAAAGGTAGGAGGTGGGACCCACAAGAGGCGCAGGGATGGAGGGTGGGGATGAGGGACACGAGAGGGATGTGAGGCGGAGCGCACTGCATGAGAACTACTGTGAGTGAAGAGATCAAGAGAATAAGATACCAAAACTTGAAGTGTGTGTGTGGTGTGTGGGTGAATGTTATAAATATAAATAGGCATTTTGTTAATTTATACAAATTTTGGAGCAGCAAAGGCCAATTACCAATTACCATACGTGGCTCTACGTCCCCTTGATTCCTTTGGGGAAGTACGACATTTGGGAATTTCATTCTTATTATTTTTATTATTATTGCAATTTGTGTCTTCTATGATTGGCCTGAGGGGTGCGTGTCTGGAACAACTGGCAGTGAAATTAATTAATCCGAGGACGGGGGGTCAAATCAGAATCAATACTATTTGGGATGCTTTTATTTGCATTTTGGCGAGCAATCTGTAATATGCAAGTTGAATTGAAAATTGGGATGCCAAACTCTCACCCTCACATGACCAGTTTTGTTAGATATCGATTTTGCTTAATTTTTTCCAAATAATTTTGAACATACATTTTCAAGATTAAATTCTAGGACATCCAAAACATGACAAAAATGTTGAAAAAAATAGTAATTGGATGAAAGGAAAGGAATTCGATAACTTGAAACATGAGGTGAAGTTTCAAAAATTTCATGGAGAGAGATTCTGATCATTTACACATGATTTCAGCGATAGTAAAGAATTAAGATTTCATTTTGAAGGGCAAAATAAATAGAGAGTTGATGATGAGTGAATAAAAAAGAGTTAGCAAACATAATCTTCTTGTAATAATAATTAAAAATGTATTGTTATGAAGGAGTAAGAATGAGTAAAGGGAAGCAGTGGAGTGGGGCACAGAGACATTGATGGCGAAAAGAGGTGCAGTGCAGCCAAATTGTGGAGCGAGCGAGGGTAAAGTCGTAAAGAGCTTTAAAAGAGTAACATATAACAGAAAGTACTCACCTTTTCTATCCTTGTTTTTTTCCTATCACTGTCACACCACTAAATTAATATACAATATCACACCTTTTGAAATATTAATTAAGAAATGAACAATCTGAATTTGTAATCTCTTACTTAATTTCTTCAATAAAACTTCATACGTGAAGCCTGTGGGTTGCCATAAACGATCAAACATTTGGAAGAAAACTATTGCCTCACCTGTAAATATGGATATATTCAAATTTTCTTGAAACCTTATAAAATTTTTGCTTCATGGGCTATCACTGTAATTTTGGCATGTATGTTAATCCTTTAGATAAAACTTGGACGAGAAAACTTGTCAATAACATGGGCATAGCTGATACAGATTCAATATTTTATTTGAACACGGAACTTATAAAAGCTACCTTCTAAATGTCCAAGACGGTGGATTAGATCCAAAAAGCAATTGAACACAATAACAATATTTGGCAGTACCAATAAATACTAGATAACGAGGCGCGTCCAAAAGCGGTTTGGAGACCCTTTTAGAGTTTTTGAATTGCAAAAATTTTATAACCAAGAGAACTATTAAAAACTTTATCGAGAGGCAAGATCATCCTAAACGAACCCGTATCATCCAACTGGTCACTATATATATATATATATTTTAATTTCTGAGTGGATTCCAAATGTTGGACGCCAAAGAAAAAAAGGGGTAATCAGAGGATCACTGCGATGACAGAACATTGATCCAGTTGTGACTCCCCCGGCCCTAAATCTGTATAATCATTATCGTCTTTATTATCGGATATGCTCTACAGAAAATGACTAATTATTAAAATTTAGAAAATATGATCCGCTCACTAATATCATGGCTTGATAGTTGGAGATTCATGGTTCTGGGTTAGTTCTACAAAAATGCAGTATTATCATTCATTAGTGGAAGGTATCTATCTCTGTTTGTTTCCTTCTTCCTGCCATTCAGATTCACTGTGTTTGTTTGAGCCGGCATGGAATTATTTGCTGTGCACAGAACAGTCTAACAGAGCTCTTTTAGGTTCTCGTTCGCATCGACGACGAGGGGAAATGGAGACATTATTCGTCAAAATCCTCGACCTGGGAATTATTACTGCATAATGATAAAAGAAAAAAAAAACATCCCGGGAAGTTGGAGTCCGATGATGATGCCGATAAAAACGCGAACCTACAGAAAACGGGTCTTCCCTTGGAAACAGAGGCCAAATAGTGTCTGGTTTTCTTGTGTTTGCCTGTTGCAACAGAACGCGTGAGGAGTGAGATGGGTCTGTTTAGGGTGAGAGTTTAGAAAGAAAGGAAGGTGGAAGAGGAGCCTGAAACCCTAAAATGGGAAGGAGAAGGAGGAAGGGGGAAACCCTTGGAAGGTGAACCAAGAAATAAAAAGAAAGCGAGTGAAGCAGGGCGAAGGGAGGATATAAACGTCTGGTGGTGTTTTGATAGAATGCAAAATAGCCCACAAAAGATTAACTACATCCACAAATTTACTTCTTGATTGATCTAAGTATAGGCCTTCTTCACAGAGAAAGCTAGCTAGGTTCAGACTCGGGGGACGTTTGCTCAGAAAGAGTTTCAGGCGTATCCCATGAAGTAAGTATTCGTGACACTGACGACTTGATGAAAATGGGTTACTTGTCTCAATTACGGACTGTGTAGTTGAATTTTAACCATCCAATTTTTATTTCATTTTAAAAATTTTGATCAATCCACATGTAATCAGCACTGATAATTAGCCAACGTGAAAACTAAAAAAATTTGATACCCCGATTTCATCCTTGAACAATACGTATACATGCCTCCATGCATATCCCAATTATACAACATCTTTTAGAAGTATTTGTTGGTTTTTAATATAGATTACATGGAGTGTTACTTATTTTTTTTAACTTTATTTTATTATAAATTTAATTTTATGGCTCATCTCATCGAATATATTGTATATATCTTTATTTTTAAGAGGGATAAAGTTAAAACTTTTGAATGGGAGTGCGGGGCAATTGTGGATTGAGCAGTAGCATTGATGAGTAGTAATTAAACAAGTAGCCTGGATGCTGTGCGTTATACGGATAATAAACAAATCAGGTTATAATATTAATTCTAATTAGCACATTGTCAAATAATTTTGTTGAAGTATAAATATACCTATAAACCAATGTTTAAATGAAGTCTAATTATAAACATACTTAAGTTATTAAGTTTCAATATTTGATTTTTCATTACATTATTTTTTAAAAATTTAAAAATTTATTTTTTTCACCAACAAAAAATCAAAAACATAAAATTTATAACTGGCACTATTTACAAGTACTAAGAAATTCAGTCTTCTCTACTTTTCCAACCATCATTTGTTAAATTTTTCCTTGTATATGTGTGTGTATGTTATGTGGCTAATTTTTTGTAAGTTTCAATTTTTGATATATTTTTTATAAAAAAATTATTATATTCTTTTATCTCCTCGTGTAATAATAATAAAAGTTTTAAAAAATAATTATGAATTTTAGAATTTATTTTCTGGCCAAATAAAATATGAGAAAATTTTAAGTTATCATTTCTCTAAAAAATATCTAATTCTTTTTCCCAAAAAAAGTATAATGGTCTTGATATTCATTTATTTAATCAACTAAATAATATCAACATCAAAATAAACCTTACTCTTGGTTGACCTTTTCAACTCATATTATATATAATTATAATGTATAATATATATTATAGTTTATAAAAATAAAATATAACACTAAGACCACCAAATTAAATTTTGATAACGTTACTATTAAATTATACGGTTTTGGTTTTTTAAAATTTTCTAGCGATCAACACAAACAAAGCTGCTAAACCAGCTAGGCTCGTAATTTCAACTTGATTAAGTGGGTATCTGATTTACAGCTTGCACATTTACCAAATTAACTTCCAAAATGTTAAAAGGAACTGTCACTTACATTTTCCTTGCTAACTTTTTCATGGCTTAAAAAATTTGTGGATGGGTTTTCAAAAAAGTAATTTTTTTTCCATCCAAACATGAGTTAAGTGGAAATTAATTTATCAAAGGGACTTTTGGGGTATCAAAAGTGATTTCCAAACACACCCTAAGTTGGTCAAAATGAGTTGACCGCCCTGTTTTTTGTGCCAATTTCAAAGGAATCACAGGCTTGTGCTCTAATCTTGTCTTCCTTGGGTGAATAATCCTAGTCCTAAGTATATGTCTGCAGTGAAGCGGGTTTTATCCATGCAAAAATTGTTATAATTTTTTTACTATCAAAAGATAAAATATTCTTTTTTTTGCATGCCTTAAAGTGTACTTTCAATGTACAAATAAAAGTTGCTTGTTGCGTACTTGAATTGACTCCATTTTTGGGAAGGCCTTTTGTTTTTAACTATATAAAAAACAAAACATAAGCAAAATATATCGGCTGAATTTGTCATGAAAAACATTCCATTTCTTAAGACCAAAAATTATGTTTTTTCAGGGAATAATAATTAATTTGTGGAATGATTGTGTGTGTGTTTATGGCCAACAGCCTTTTAATTTTTAATCATCATTAGTTATCACGTTTTTTCGGACGCGGCTTTGCAGAGGCTGAATACAAAATTAGCTTTTGGATAAAATTGCGTTAGAATTACACAATACTGCTAGTTGACTAATTGATCCTAAGATTGA